AGCTGGCCCGCACTCCAATCACGAAAGGCAGCCAAAAAGCCTCAACCCAGCCCGAGACACCTGAACACGACCAGATAGCCGAGCACTAGCCGGAAACAGCAAACCGCCCCAGCAGAAACTACAACCACCACCGTTTACCCCCAACACCAACTCGCCAAGAAGCTCTCCAGTCACAGACACGAAAGAGAAACCGAGACAAAGCAGCAAAACTAGGCCATACCTTCAATTGACTCGGCTTGGAGCCGAAACATGAGGAAGCCACTGATTTTTTGCTTTTGAATAATTAGTTTTTTTATATGATTTCAACACATTTTCATTTAAATTGATTATTGGACCCTTGAGTTTTACCCAAATATTTTTGGGCTACACATTTCGGCACATTTTCAACACATAATAGTAATAGTAAAGAAGAAGAAGAAGAAGAATAACAATAACAATAATAATTTTAATCACTTAATTCAACCATCTCTCAAATGATAAGTATTATATTATTTATTACAATTTACGTCATATATACAGTGATTATTCATATTGTCCATGTTTAATTAATATTAGTTGTTAAAATTTTAAAATGTGATATATATTCATTATCTAACTTATAACATTAAATATTATATATATGCGTATAATGTATAATATTTTTTTTTTATATTTGTGATGTAGGGGAAGCGTGAACGAGCGGGAAGATACAAGGAGATACTCTATCCAGAACACGGGATACTCTCCCGAAAAAATCACGATCAATTATTTTCATTCATCAAATTCTACTAAATAAAACAATAGATGATGAGTTCTTTAAATAAGGCTCATAATCATAATCCTAACTTGTCTAAATAAAACAATAGATGATGAGTCCTTTGAATAAGGCTCATAATCATAATCCTAACTTGTCCGACAAGACAAGATCTCTTATAATTAAATAATAATACTAAATTCCTAACTTATTCTCTAAGACACTTATTAAATATTAATAAAATAATAATAATAATAATAATAATAATAATAATAATAATAATAATAATAATAATAATAATAATAATAATAATATATCCGCATCATCCTCCCCCGGTTCGGAAGGCTTCGCCCTCGAAGCCGAACCAAACGTGCCGACACCTGAGTCGTACCCATGCCAAGCATCGCCCGACGTTTTCCCCTATCAATCACGAAAATTAAATGTCTCCCAACGTCCACCCTAGCCGACCCACACAACATAGGACCCTTACTTCCAACCCAAACACCCTCGGGCATCATAAAACTAAAAAATTCAACACCACCTTCATGGGGTATGAAACACGAATTAAAATATGACAAAACTGTGTCAAACTCGTGCCCATGTAATTCTCTATACTGCACAATGCAGCCACCAAGAATCACATCAAATTCAACGGTATTAATAGCAACAATTACAGCTTCATTCTCTGGCCTCAGAGGCTCCTCATCGAAAATCGACGGACCGTCGTACAATGGTCCGTCATGTTGTTCTCCATCCAAATCAGGAATGTCCACGCGAAACGGGCCCTCCCATGGACCATATTCGTGATCATGTACGCAATCGCGTCGGGCCCGATATCCGCCGACGAAGGCAGCCTCCTGGCGCCTGCCTTTGTCGTCGCGTTGATCGTAGCCGTCCACGAAGCCGTTCAGAGGTGGTGGGGACCACTGCCAGGGCGCCCCGACATGGTTGCTTCCCCCATAACCGCCTCTGTCTCCCCCGCGAAAGCCACGGCCCACAGCTCCATCGCGGTTCGTTTGCAATTCCGAAACAACCACGTTGTTAAGCGTCAAATGCGAATCCTCGATCCCCGTCGAAAGATCGGCAAACAAATTCGTGAAACGCACGTCCAACTCTTGAAATCGGTAGTCAATCTGTTGAAACCGATCGTGGAATGTGGCATCACGTTGGTTGTTTACAGCATCTTCTCGTCCCCGCGACATCGCGAATCGTACTGACTGCTGATACCAACTGATGTAGGGGAAGCGTGAACGAGCGGGAAGATACAAGGAGATACTCTCTCCAGAACACGGGATACTCTCCCGAAAAAATCACGATCAATTATTTTCATTCATCAAATTCTACTAAATAAAACAATAGATGATGAGTCCTTTAAATAAGGCTCATAATCATAATCCTAACTTGTCCAAATAAAACAATAGATGATGAGTCCTTTGAATAAGGCTCATAATCATAATCCTAACTTGTCCGACAAGACAAAATCTCTTATAATTAAATAATAATACTAGATTCCTAACTTATTCTCTAAGACACTTATTAAATATTAATAAAATAATAATAATAATAATAATAATAATAATAATAATAATAATAATAACAATAATAATAATAATAATAATAATAATAATAATAATATATCCGCATCAATTTGTGTATGTGCACAAATTCTAGTTAAGTCTTAAGATTTATAACAATTTCACTAAAATTAATAAACGTTAAAAGTAAAATAAATAAATAAATAAATCCACATTATTTACCGTTCAGACTAAAGTTGCCGTAAGGTTATTTGAAGAATCATCGTATATTTGAGTATTTCATAAAAAAAATATATATAAATTATTAAATGATTCATTTGATATTTTGAAATATTTTAATAAAAAATGCATGAAGTGTTAGTCTATAATACTCATCAAATGCACTTAAGCTATTAAAACAAGTTATACTTTTTAAAAAAAATCATATTGCCAAATTTCATTTGAATAAAATAATTTTACGAGGTAAAGCTAAATAATTATAAATTACCTTATGATTAGTTACAAACATACTCGTTTTACTAGGTTTTACTAGGGATGTGCAAAATTTGATTGAAACCGACCGAAATCGACCGAACTGACAATTTAACAATTCGATTAATTCAGTTTTCGCAGTTCGGTTCGGTCGGTCAGCCGAACTGACCGAGGTTAAACTTATCAAATAATTTTCAGCAATAATATATATACCCCACCTTACTCAGTTAATAAAAGGTTATTTATGTAACTCGACTGAATATAATTTTGTATGGCCAGTAAGATTGACTTGTGATTCGCATAAAATCTAACAAGATACAGATACATACTATAAAATATGAATTTATTTTACGTGACTTAAACCGGTACACGTTGAAAAAGCAAGTCCACTTTCAGGAGTCAAAACAAATACTACCTCCTATTCATTATAAATGTCGTTTTGACTTTTTTGATTCATCCATTTTGTTACGTATCTAGACATTAATATGTCTAGATACATAACAAAACGGATGAATCAAAAAAGTCAAAACGACATATAATTTGAATAGGAGGGAGTACTACTTAATTGAGAAACAAAAATAAAAATATTATTATCCAAATTCCATAATGTGTTACATATGGAATTTATGAAAAAAAGTAAAACTATTATCAAATTTTTATATCTTTTTAACATAAAAAAATAGACAGAATATGTCTAGATACATAGCAAAATGAATGAATCAAAAAAGTCAACACGACACTTATTTTAAAAAGGAGGGAGTATATTTGAAAAAAAAATGTATCATTGGAAAAAAAATAATGGAAAAACATAAAAGAATAACAATAAAGATAAATGAGACATGCATTAGAGAGGTAAATAAGAATAATATAAAAATATAATAATTAAAAGTCCATTTGATATAAAACAATTCAAAAAATAAAAAATGAATTCAATTTAAGGAAAGATTAGATATATGTATATATTTGTGTGTGTGTGAGAGAGAGAGGTACATAAAAATAAATAAAAATATTATAATTAAAAATCAGTTTGAAATAAAATTATTAAAATATTATTCGATAGTGATTGACAATTTAATTACACATGTAGATGAATAGTATAGCTTAAAAATATAATTACTATTATCTTTTATTTATAATAAGTAATTTTATAATACTAAAGTTAGATGATTTTATTTTATTCCTTTAATTTTAGTGAAAAGTGCCATTTTAGGGAAAATGCTACGGTCTCGTTACGGAACTATTCCGTTGAAATTTGTAACCATCGAAAATAATTGATCTAAAAATTACAAAATCCGACGAGATGATTCCGTGACGAGACGATAACATCTCTCTCTTAGACACACTCTATCAAGAAAACGACTAATCAAACAAATTATTCAAACAATATTAATAAATTTTCCGGCTTATAACTGTGTACTGTACAGAGTGTACCAGAGTCCTCTTGCTTCACTGTTTTTTCATCACAACCAAACATAAAAAGGAACACAAGAAAGCAAAACAAAAGCTCCCAAATTTCATCATCTTCACCTCCGTCCAAAAAAAA